AGACGGCCCCAAGAGGGGCCAGAAAGGGGAAACACGAAACGAAAATCAGAGCCCTCAGCCCCAAGAGGCGCCCAGGAGGCCCCAAGAGGCCCCCCCAAAGGCCTCAAGAGGCCCCCAAAAGGCCCGAAAGAGGCTCCACAACAGTCCTCCAGGGGTTTCAAGACTGCTTCCAAAACTGCTTCCATGAGGCCTCCGAGAGGCCTCGACGAGATCCCAACGAACATCCAAAATGCCGCAAACCCCAAACCCAGGCACGGTGGCGGGATCGGCCGAGAATCCATCATATCCGCCACCCCCTGCCGGCTTGCCACGAAGGGGCCCAGTGTGCTAGACCGTTTCGATTTTGGTTCTTTTAGAAAACTCCCTGGGGCTTCGGCCCGTCACGCCGGGGTCCCGGAGCCCAGCGTGCTAGACCGTTTCGATTTTGGTTCTTTTAGAAAACTCCTTGGGGCTTCGGCCCGTCACGCCGGGGTCCCGGAAGGTTCCCAAAATGCCCGGGTGGCTCCCTCTGTCGCCTCCAAGACGGCCAAGATGGCCTCCAAGCTCGCCCAAGATGGTCCAAGATGGCCTCGAAGACGGCCCAAGAGAGTCCAGGGTGCCTCCAAGTTCGCACAAGAAACACCTAAGACGGCCCACGACGGCCCCAGAGGCCTCCAAGAGGCCTCCAAGACGGCCCAAAAGCCCTCCAACAGGTCCTCCAGGGTCCTCCAGGGTCCTCAAGGACGGCTCGAAGAGGTCACAATCATTGACTTTCCGTAGGTTTTTGAAGGATTTTGGCTTTTGCTCCTTTTCAGCTCTCCGACGGCCCAAGACTGCCCAAGAGGCCATCAAAATCGCCCCAAGAGTGCCCAAGAAGCCTCCAAGACGGCCCAGGACGGCCCAAGAGGCCCCCAAGACGGCCCCAAGAAGGCCCCAAGACGGCCCCAAGACGGCCCAAGAGGCCCCCAAGACGGCCAAGATGGCATCCAAGACGGCGAAGATGGCCCCAAGATGCACCCAAGACGGCCCAGGATGGCCTCAAGATGGCCTGAGACTGCCCGAAAGGCCCACCAGAGGCCTCCAAGACGGCCCAAGAGCCCTCCAAGACGTCCTCCAGGAAGGCCCGACAAGGTTAAAATCATTGATTTTCCATTCGTTTTTGAAGGATTTTGGCTTTTGCTCGTTTTCAGCTCTCCGACGGCCCCATTACAGCCCAAGAGGCCCCCAAGACGGCCCCAAGAAGGCCCAAGACGGCCCAAGAGGTCCCCAAGACGCCCAAGTTGGCATCCAAGACGACCAAGATGGCCTCCAAGATGGCCAAGAAGGCCTCCAAGACGGCGAAGATGGCCCCAAGATGCACCCAAGACGGCCCCAGATGACCTGAAGATGGCCTAAGACGGCCCTATAGGCCCGCAAGAGGCCTCCAAGACGGCCCAAGACCCCTCCAAGACGTCCTCCAGGAAGGCCCGAAAGGGTCCAAAGCATTGATTTTCCTTGGGTTTTTGAAAGATGTTTCTTCTTTTCAGCTCTCCGGCGGCCCAAGACGGCCCAAGAGGCCCCCAAGATGGCCCCATGACGGCCCAAGAGGCCCCCAAGACGGCCCCAACAAAACGCCAAGACGGCCCAAGATGGCCCCCAGGACGCCCAAGATGGCATCCAAGACGGCCAAGATGGCCTCCAAGATGCCTCCAAGACGGACAAGAAGGCCTCCAAGACGGCGAAGATGGCACCAAGATGCACCCAAGACGGCCACAGATGGCCTGAAGATAGCCTTAGACTGCCCGAAAGGCTCACCAGAGGCCTCCAAGACGGCCCAGGACCCCTCCAAGATGTCCTCCAGGAGGCCCGAAAGCTCGGAAACCACCTGGTCCGATAGCTCGCCCGACTCCGTGTTCCCTGAAGGCTTTCGAAACCCACTCGGGGAACGCGTTGCCCGATAGCTTGGCCAAGCTCGAACCCCACTTTCGGCCACGCAGGCACTTCCAAAAAGGCAGGGGGCGGCGGTGATTCGCCGCAGGCGTCTTCGATACATCTGTATACATGGCTGTGCTGATAAAGGGAAGGACTATACACATAGAGAACGGATCTGACTTGATTCCCGGTGCGGCGGTCTGGCCTGGGTCGCGAGCGCCCCTGAAGTGCCCAAAACAGCCCCAGAGTGCCCCAAGAGGGCCTCAAGACGGGCCAAGAGGGCTCCAAGAGGCCTTCCAGACGGTCCAAGAGGGCCCCGAGTCGCCGAGCGATCGGTCCAAGATGCTCCAGATGGCCTTCAGACGGCCCAAGAGGCCTCCGAGACGCTCCCAGATGCCTCCAAGAGCCCTTCCAGGAGAGCTCCGAAAGGCAAACATCGTCACATTCCAAATAGGAAACATTCATTTTCAGCATCTGCGATTTTGGGGCCTTTACGGTGTCCAAGACGTCCCAGGAAGCCTCCCAGTCCCAAGAGGGCCCCGAGACGCCCCAAGAGTGCTCCAAGACGGCCCAAGAAGCGCCCCAGACGGCCCAAGAGGGCCTTCAGAGAGCCTCCACAGGGGTCCAAGAGGGAGAACCCAAATTGAGATGTCGAGCCCTCCGCCCCAAGGGGGCCCCTGAGAACGCCAGCAGGCCCGCAAGAGGTCTTCAAGAGGTCCATGAGAGGCCCCCAAGAGGCCCCCTGACGAACCCCAGTAGCTCTGACCTCGAAACTCACAAACGATCGCGAGCCATAGCCGTCCCAACCCGATCGTATAGCGAATCGAATAACCAAGTAATACTGCGATTGCCAAGAAGTCAATCTACATGTATGTATATATGTATGTATGTATGTATGTATGTATGTATGTATGTATGTATGTATGTATGTATGTATGTATGTATGTATATATGTATATATATGGGATCTCTCTCTGTCTCTCTCTCTCTCTCTCTCTTTCCCCTCCCGGAATATATCTCTAACTATATATATGTGTATATATATCCTTCTCTCTTTCTCTCTCCTCCCTCCCTCTCCTTATCTCTGATATATTCTCTCGCTCTCTCTCTCCCTCTCTCTCTCTCACTTTTTTTGTTCTCTCTTTCTCTCTCTTTCTCTTTTGTCCTGTCTTCCTCTCCGTCCCCCTCTATCTCTGGCCCTCCGCCACATGCTGGTCTGGGCGTCATGGAATCACCCCGCAGGAAGAATGGACCGACAAAAACCTCTTCGGTGAGGACGCGGGCCGATGCTCGGGAACAACTGGATTGGACATGATGGAAACGGGTCCTGGTGGAAACGAGTCCTGGACCCCGGGGCCTTCCCCAGGACTCACCGTTCACCCTGAGCCGCTCTATGACAGTCCTGGGTTTGGGAGGGGCCCCGGGAGGTTGAGAGACAGAGAAAAAAACGCCACAAAAAGAGGGCCCCTCTCCTCCAGGACCCTCTCCACCATGGCGGCGGCTGCGAGCCGACTAATGTAGCTGTCGAGCGGAATCTGTGCCTTCTCGGAGCGGCCGCCGCTGCTGCTGCTGTCCTGTCTGCTGCAGGCGTGCAGGGTGCCCTGGGATTCCCGTATGGGAGGCCGCCAGCGGCCAGCAGGGCCCAGCGAGCCTGCACAAAAGCGCGACGTAAGCCCCGAGAGAGCCCCCAAGAGCCCGGTAACGGCCCAAGATGGTCTCAAACCAATGCCAGGCTGGTCCAAGAGGTACCAAGAACCCGGCAAGAAGGCCCCCCCGACGCCTCGAGAAGGCGTCGCGCTGCAGAGCAACGTCTCTTTCTTTTCTATGCTGTTGTGAGTCGCCTGTCTTCCTCTGAGGCAGTCGGAGAGGGGCTTGAAGACGACCGCCTCAAGCCGCAAGATACCTCCAAGATCACCAAGATGGCCCCACAGACCCCGAACCCCAACTGCATCGTTCACTGTGGCCCAAGAAGGCCCCGAACCGGCCCCAAGATGCTCCAATAATCCCCAAGTAGCCCCTCCCAGAAGCCAGATGTAGGTGCGATGTGACCCCAGTAGTGCCTCCAGAGGCCACACGATTCAAGATGCTAGCAGAAGTCTCTTAGGTGGCCCAGCGGCGCCCCAAGACGACGCATCTTTTTACATGGAATCATTCCCCAAGCAGTGCTTGCACTTGGGGGTTCTTGCTTGTGTTCTCATCTCAGGAACTTGGGGGGGGGGGTGTCGGTCTGGCGGCTCCGTGCTCGCCGTCGCCGCCACGTCGCCGCCTCGTCGCCGCCCGTCGTCTGGGCTATGTTGTCAGTCTGGCGGCTCCCTGCTTGCCGTCGCCACCACGTCGCCGCCTCGTCGCCGCCCGTCGTCTGGGCGCGGTTGTCAGCCTGGCGGCTCCGTGCTCGCCGTCGCCGCCACGTCGCCGTCCCCTCGCAACCCAGATTGTAAAACAAAGCTTGCGCCACATGTACTGCACAACATAGTTTTTTACAACATCAATTGCACAACATCGATTGCACCATGTCGATTGCACCACGTCGATCGCGCCACATTTATTCACAACATAGGTTGCATCGTGTCGATCGGTTGCACCACATAGGTTGCATCACATAGGTTGCTCCACAAATCCTGCACAACACATATTGCACCACATAGATTGCACCGTGTTAGATTGTACCACGCATATATATATATATACACATATTTATATGGGCATATATATATAGACACACGCATATACATATACACATATCACCACGCAGGCTGCACCGCATACATTGCACCACGTCGATTGCACCACATACATTGCGCACCACATAGATCGAAGCACATATATTGCACAGCGTCAATTGCTCAACACATATATATATATACATACACGCATATACATATATATATATATATACACATATATTTATATTGCACCACATATAGTGCACCATGCAGAGTGCACCACATATATTGCTCCACAACGGTTGCACACCATACATTGCGCAGCGCAAGTGGCAGAATATTTATTTACGCTGCAGAGCCTTCATTGCACCACGTAGACTCATATTGCTCCACCTCGATTGCACAACATACATTGCTAGAAACACACTGTCTGGGGTCCACGCTGGCTAACATTTCTTTTGCCTCGGCCGACATCTGCAAACTAACATCGCTATTCACGTGTATGTTTGGAGTGGCGTGCAAGGCGAAGCACACAGCGTTCGATCCTGGTGGTTTCTTGTCCACCGCAACCGTAGTCTCAGACATCCTGGCTATAGGATCTTGCGACGCTCGAAGTGACGGAGCTCTTTGCCGACTTTGTCTCGGTCACCGAATAACTGCTTTGCGAACTTGCTGGTCGAGCCAGTCGGGTGCTAATTCGAACCTCGATAGGCGTAGCTTTCCCGATAATCAAACGTGCAACATGTTTTCCGATCAATGGGACGGATACCAGTCTGCCCAAGCCCACAGCACTGACCACAAATGAGACCATGCCGAGCAAGTTGTAAGCAATGGCTGTCGGTTGATGCGTTGCAGGCGCATTGTACAGCACCTGGTTGAGCCCATCAAGTGCTATCACCCACCAGAGAAGATGAAGGGTGCCATAGTTGATGAAAGCTCTCTTGTCCTGGGGGGACATCATAACCAGAATGAGATGCATCACGGGGTAGATGCACTGTGTCGCCTGCCATGATGCCACGTCGGCCGCGGACTCCAGCTGGAACACTCCTGGCCTCAGTATGCCCAGGCAGAGAACAGTCCAGGCCACCCACAAGCAGAACGGCGGTCCCAGCTGAACAAAACTCAACTTCTCAACGGCGATGCCCATGCTCGCAGCTTTTCTCATAGATCCAGTGGACATGCCAGACTTCAGCAGCACACTGATGTAGTGTTCAACAGAAGCTACTTCATCCCCAATCGAAGCGAGTATGTTCGCTTTGTCGGAGTCAATGGTGCACGAGACTTCACGGATAGAGCCACTGTAACCCAAACCAAGCCGCGCCAGGTCTGCCTTGTGTAGAGCCCCCCGCGCCCCGTCCACTGCCAAAATCATGGGCGCGACCAGCAAGAACGCCCACATGAGAGCCACGGAAAATTGTGTGCTGGACACTGGAAGGGACACCCACGTGGCCTCCAGAAACCCGTGCCGTACGTAAGTATCGGGATGCCAAACCAACCGGATGCCCAAAACTGCGGCGATACCCCAACACACCGATCCAGCATAGATCAGCAAAGTTCGAATCAAACCTGGCATTGCAGACGTAGCCAACAGCAGAAAAATAGTTCCAATTCCAGTGCTCCCCCCGTGCCCCGCATAGAACGCCCATGAGCTAGCCATGTCGTCAGTAGTGCAAGCTTTGCACAGCAGCGCAGAGCAAACCACCGCCACGCATGGACCACCTGCGGCTTTCAATGTTGCTTTGGCCCCCAATGGTGTCCATGCCGTGAAGATTTCCTTCCCCCACACGCAGGCTAGGTAGGCTTCGTAGCAACACCATGCACGACTGTAGATACCGACGCTCCCATTTGGCACCGCAACCATGTGGGTACAGTGTGCCAGCGCGCGAGCGAATGGCGATGTCAGCGGATCTGATACCAAGCAAGCGATGTCCAAGTGCTGGGGGTTCGACAACATACAAGCATAGGCGCTACGTTTGCGCCGGGGCCAAGACGCGAGAGTTTTGTCAATGAATTCGTAAATGCCTTCAGCCCAAGTATGCGTGATGAAAACCTCGCACTCCATCCCATCTGGGTGATGCGTCAGAGCATAACTAGCTCCACCCGAAGGTCCACTGGGCTCAGTCAGAGGCTTTATCAGTTGGTCGGTGACGGTGTAGATATTAGGGCCAACTGCAGTGTCCGTTGGTTCGAAAGGATCCTCACTCGTTGGCACAACTCTTCCCTCAGTCACTGCTTTTTTAACCTGCTGGCGCAATCGACGCAAGTCCGTCTTCGTAATGCACCAAAGCTCTGGGCGAATGCGGTTGTGAAGATCTTCTCCATCAAACTCGCGCGGGCCAGGCTGCGAGGGATGTAGTCCTGGAGAACTCACAAATAAACCCATGAACCGGTTGACGAAACAATCCCCTGCGAAAAAGAAACTTACGTCGCCCCATCACAACAAGTCTGAGCCAGAAAGCTCCCTTGAGCCAAACCGGCTGCGAAGAGAGCTCTCCCACACTGTCAAACAGAGCTTGACTGACTGTTTTTTTGCTCACCTCGCCGAGCGATGCTCTTCCCAGCCATTCTTTGGGTGTTACGTCTTCGTTTCGACTCCGCAGCGCCTCGCATCCCTCCTCACCTCACCTAAGGAGGAAAAAAAAGAGCAGTAAGACACTTGAGCATCAACTTTTTTGCGCCCTCCTCGTAAAGGCCGCGCATGCGCTCGTGAGGTGATGTAGATTTCGCAGTCTCGGGGGTGAATCATTTTCAAATGATGGACATCGTGGACGGCGCGAGGAAGGTTGAAGTTCTCCCTCTACTGGGCGCGGTACAGTGTGAGTGGAAAACAATGCGTTCTCTGGAGAGCACCTCCCCTTCGCCTCCTCCGCATGACCCTCTTGGCACAGCCGCCACACGTCTCGTGGCTGCCACGAGGCAGCTCCACGGACGGACTCCACGGGCGCGGCCGCAGGGCGCTCGCGCCCACGGCCCAGCGGCAACGTGGCGAAATCTTACCGGACCCACCCAGCGCACGAGGCGGCAAAGAGGCGGCAGCGAGGCAGCGACAGGCGGCAACCCGGCGAAATCTCGCCGGACCCAACTGGCGCCCGAAGCTGCAACGAAGCGGCATTGGGCGGCCACGTGCCGAAGCCTCGCTGAACTCACCAAGCGCACGAGGGAGCCACGAGGCGGCAACGGGCGGTACTGAGGCGAGGCTTCGCCCGACCCACCCAGCGCACGAAGCGGCAACCAATGGCAACGAGGCGGCAACGTGGCGAAACCTTGCGGGACTCTCCAGCGCACGAGGCGGCCACGAGGCGGCACCGAGGCAGCAACGGTCGGCCACGTGGCGAAACCTCGCTGGCCCATCCCAGCGCACGAGGCTGCCACGAGGCAGCAACGGGCGGCAACGCCGCGAAACCTCGCTGGCCCATCCCAGCGTACGAGGCGGCCACGAGACGGCAACTAGGCGGTGAAAGGAGGCAACGTGGCGAAACCTCGCTGGACCCACCCAGCGCACGAGGCGACAATGAGGCGGCAACGGGCGGCAGCGTGGCGAAACCTCGCCGGACCCACTCAGAGCACAGGGCGGCAACGAGGCGACATCATGCGGCAACGTGGCGAAACCTCGCCGAACCCACCCAGCGCACGAGGCGGCAACGAGGCGGCAACGGGCGGGAACGTTAAACATTCTCACCAGACCCAACCAATTCCTGCTGGAGACAAGAAGGAACCCCTAAGTGCACGCACATTCTGTGGAATCTCACCAGCCCTCTGGGCGTAGATGGTCTAGAGCGGTTTCTCTTCTAACCCCTCCCTCTTCCCCTCCGGGGAGGGGTCTTCTCTCCCCCTACCCACTCCCTTGACCTGGATGGGGTGTTTCGCGAGCGGTCAGAGCCTCTAAGATGGCCCAAGACGGCTCCAAGAGGGTCTCAGGGAGCCCAAGATGACCTCTTAGATAGAACAAGATAGCCCAAGATGCCCCAAGACCGTTCCAGGACGGTTCCAAGTGACCGCGGAACGTCTCGCGGAGGCAGCCAAGAGGCAAAAACCTTTCAAACACCTGAGGAAATTCACTGATTTTTGCCTTCTCGACTTTTTGCTTTCGCAGGCCTTCCGAGGCCGCAAGAGAGCTCCAAGAGAGCCGCACGAGAGGCCTGAGAGAGCCCCAAGGCGGCCCCAAGAACTCCCAAGAGCGCTCCAAGAGGGGTCCAAGAGACGATTCTAGGCACTCTAGAAGGGCAGGGCTACTTGAAACTCCTGCCTACTTTAATCGATGTCCTCCAAGATAGCTCCAAGAGCGTCCCCACGCCTCCCAAGAGCGCCCCAAGAGGCGCCAAGGAGGCCCCTAGAGGCGCCCAAGAGGCCTCCAAGAGGCTTCCCAAAAGACCCCCAAGAGGCTCCCCGAAGTACGCAAGAGACCCTTGGGACCGCCAACAGGCCCCCAAGACGCCCAAATAAGCTCCCAAACTCGCCATAGTCCTCCTCCTCCTCTTCCTCCTCCTCTTTATCCGCCTGCTTCTCCCCCTCACTCCTCTCTCCTCCCCCTCCTCCTCCTCTTCCTGCTCCTGCTCCTGCTCCTCCTCCTCCGCTTCCTCCTTCTCTCCCTCATCCCCCTCCCCCTCGTGCTTCTTCCCCGCCTTTCCTCATTCGGCAGGTCCGCGACGGCGCATGCGGTTCGTCCCTGGGTCTGCGCAGGCTGGTCCATGGCTTCCGTTTGACGGCTCCCCCAGCTCTTGATCCACTGCATGCTCCTCTTTTTCCCTGGATGTTTTTTTGTTGTTGTGTGTTTCTTCTTCTCCTCTCCTTATATATATATATATATATAGTTTTTTGTTTCTATACCTATATTATTTAGTTTGTTGTTGTATTTTTTGTGTGTGCTTATTCATAATTATAATTATATTTATATTATTTGTATATGTATTAATATATACATGTATGTTTATACATATATATATATATATTATTTCTTCTTCTTCTTCTTCTACGTCATCTTCCTTCTGGTCCGCGAGCGATGCGGAACAGCCGCGCGCCGTCAGAAAGTCGCAAGCAGCCAGCAAGGCTGATGAGGGTATTTTTTGATCGCGACCGCAGGCGGGCACCCGCGCGCCGTCAGGAGGTCGCGAAAAAAGCGCAAGCTGGTGCTGTCGCAGGCGAGGCGCGGAAAAGGGCCACGATGGTGGCGAGAACTACCTCGCAAAGGGCAGCGGTAACGTGGCAGGGGCGAAGGCGAACGAAAGAAACAGGGGAAGAGGCGCAAGAGCGAAGGAGCGGCGACGAGAGACACAGCAGAGGAAGAAGGCGAAAGAGCGGACACCAAAGGAATATAAAGACAATAACAGAGAACGGGAAGAGCTAAGCCGCAGCTCAGACGTGGAACAAGTAGAAGATCGTCCGCACTTTGCAAAGCTACCTGTGCTTGTCGCAAGTAGGCAGCAGGGCCCGAAACCAATCCAGTCGGATGCGGTGTCGCGGAGAAGCAAGGAGACCACGGAACCGACGTACCAGCGGCGGCATGTGCAAGTGGTAGCGCAGGAGCCCCTTGCTGAAGGTCATGCAGTGCCCCAGGCCATCTCCAGGGCCAGCGTAGGGGCGAAAGAGTGCGGGGAGCCTCCCATCCCTCGAGCCCCAGGGGGAGCAAACGGTGAGGGGGGCCGTCAGAAAGAGGCAGCAGACAGCTGCCAGGAGCTCGATTACTTTCGGGGGGGAAGCTGTTGAAGCCGAATGAAGGTGGGTGCACGCGCCAGTGCCGCCTACGAACAGCCCAGCGCCCGCCCGGCTAACAGCCGCAGGGCGATGGGGGATTGCATCGCCTGGGACATGCAGCTCTCTGGTAGGGTGCAGCTAACAGCCGCGGGATGGTGGGAAGAAGTTTCGCCTGAGACGTACAGCCGCCCAGCAAGGGCATGAGTAGCAGGGGTGAGCTGGGGGGTACGGGTCGCGCCTGCCAGGTCGGTTGGGGTGCAACTGTCAGCAGCAGGATTCAGGGTAAGTCCCGCTTGGGACGAGCAGATGCCTTGCTGGGGTGCAGCTAACAGCCGCAGAATGATGAGAAAAAGTTACACGTGAGACAAGCCGATGCACGACCGGAGTGCAGGTGACCGCCGCGGTGTGATTGGGGAAAACTTCGCCTGAGACGTGCTGGTCTACTGGTAGGGTGCAGCTAACAACCGCAGGATAGTGAGAAATGGTTATCTTCGCCTGAGACATGCCGATACCTTGCTGGGGTGCAGCTGACAGCCGCAGAATGATGGGAAGAGGTTACACCTGGGAGAAGCCGCAGCCCGACTGGAGTGCAGCTGAAAGCCGCGGTGTGATTGGGGAAAACTTCGCCTGAGACGTGCTGGCATCCTGGTAGGGTGCAGCTAACAGCCGCAGGAACGTGGGACAAAGATATCCCCTAGTTCTCCGGCAGGGAGCAGCTAACAGCCGCAGGAAAGGGGAAATGATAAACTTCGTTTGAGACATGTTATGCCTGAGATGGTACTCTGGTAGGGTGCAGCTAACAGCCGCAGGAAGGTGATACATTGTTTCGCCTGAAACATGCAGCCTGGGGGGAGCGGCCCGCCTGCCAAGATGGGGGGGTGCCGGTAACAACCGCAGAATGCGGGGAGGTGAACCCGCCCGACACAATGTCTACGCCAAGCAGGGGTGCAGCTAACAGCCGCAGAACTAGGGGAAAATATTACACGCGAAGCGTCAATAATTCAATCATACGCAGACTCGCTCAGATTGAGATCAACTCACACAGGCATCCACTGACACTCAGACCATTTCTACTTCGACTCACACAGGCCACTCACACTCATACTATTGACGCCCAGGCACACTCATACTCAGATTCGCCCACTCTCAATCTCATCCACACGACGTCTCCCGTACTCAGACGAGCTCATACCCATATTCGCTCAAACTCAGATTCGCCCATTCTCAAACCACTCACACTCTGACCGACTGGTATTCAGCTCAGTCATACTCATAGCTAGACACGCAGACCACTCACACTCTGATCACTCACGATCAGGCTTGTTCGCCCTCAGGCTCACACTTGGACAGGCCCCACACTCTGTCACTCACACTCAGACCCACTCAAACTCGCTCCTCGTACTCAAACTCGCCCATGTTCACTGCGATGTAGCAGGCGTGGCACTTGGGCCCTCTGAGGAGCCATCAGGGATGGGGGACACTTGCCCGTTCGAACCTAGAATGTGGGGATGGAACGACGCGCTCGTTTTGCACCCGCGAGCCCTCGCGTTTGACCATTCCATGATCACCGCCATAGTAGCAAGCATAGCATTGGGACGCCCCGAGGAGGAGCCGCCAGGGAGGGGGGGACTCTTTCCCGTTCGCGCCCAGATTGCGCACCAACGATGGCTCGTTCCAGAAACCATGAATCCACCCAAATATGAAGCGGTCCAGGGACACACAAACAAATAGACACACATCCCAGGATTCCCAATCTTTTTCATATTTTCTGGGTTTTCGTCTTCCCCG